TGTGAGAGAGAGAGAGAGAGAGAGAGAGAGGGTCACATCACAGTGGAGTCAGCTGTCTTAACCGTGGCTTGTGTACTGCAAACACATACCAGCTTCATCACTGTGTCTGTCACGCGACTCTGTTCCCCTTTCGGGCTCTGTCTTTACGTTTATTTTGAAATATGAAGCTCGCAATTATGGTAAGGGGCGTTACATTTCCGACGAGTGCTTGCGGTGTTCGGCCAATCACAATGCACTGGGTCAGCTGGCCAATCAGAGCAGACTGCGCTTGTGGGAAGGAGGGACTTTGTAGAAAACTAAGCGTTTGAGAGAGGCGGGGCATAGAGGACCTACAATAATGTGCAGTATTTGAAAAATAATGTGTTTTTTGAACATTAAAGCATGTCAACATATTCTGTTAAACCAAATACACAAAATAATTATCTTTAAAAAAGCATCATATGACCCCTTTAAATAATAAAAGTTTGTTCCTTGATGACATCATCATCCAGGAAGTGACAACATGCTGAGGGACGTCATCAACACCAACATCAGTGAGTATTAGCAATGATTTGATGAATTCTGTGATTTTTTTTGTGGTGTTTGTTGGTTTTTGACACTCTAAAATGTTCCATATTGTTACATAAATCAGTGTGATAGCATACAATTAATAAGCTCATGAAAGATAAGACTGTCACTCCCTCACTGAGCAATCTTTCAAACGTATTTATGAATCCCTTCACCTTTGAAGACATTTCCAAAGGGAGGTGTTGTCTGATTCCAAAAAAAATATAGCAAAGTAACACACATTCTCACACCTCACACACTGTTTCAAAAGCCTGTTTCACCACGTAATCTTAATTAAAGTATGTAGATAATCCTATTAGTCAAAGTCTGACCAGGGTTACTACACATTCTGTTATTTGGGACAAAGCACAAAAGCATTTCTTATGTACTTGCACTAACAAAAATTACCATGGTATTTCCATGGTATCTTAGAAGTACACAGGGTACTTCTTGTTAGTAAATACCATGATACTGTAATACCATAGTATTTATACCATGCATTACAATTATTCAGAATCATGGTAGATGTTTAAATGCCAGAGTACACTCTAAAAAATGCTGGGTTGTTTCAACCCAACTTTGGGTCAAATATGGACTAACCCAACCATTGGGCTACATTTTAAATTTTTAACCCAAAAGTTGGGTTAGTCCATATTTGACCCAAAGTTGGGTTGAAACAACCCAGCATTTTTTAGAGTGTACTGTTCCAACTAATAACACGGTACCAGCACATTATATTTTCGTAAAAGTGGATATTATGTCTGAGCAATAGTATAATAATATCATATTTATACATTTGCTCTAAAATGAACTAATTTGAATGAATCAGAAGTGAAGGTAACACATGCTAGTGGTAAAATCTTTAAAATCATGATATTAATATTTTCGTCGTTGTTCATTAATTATGAATTACTGTTCAAAAAATTTTGGTCATAATGATTTTTAATGTTTTTAAAAGTCTCCGATGCTCACCAAGGCTACATTTATTGTGCAATATTATTAAAATGTAAAATATCTGTTTTCAATTTTCTATATATATACATTTATATAATATACTGATTTGCTGCTTAAGAAACATTTTTTATTACCAAAATTGAAAACATTTGCGCTGCTTAATTTTTTGTGGAAGCAGTGAATTTTTCAGGATCTTGAAGTAAAATATATTTTTTTAAATGAAAAACTTTTTTTTACATTATAAATGTCTTTACTGTGTTAATGTTAATGTGAGTAATAATTTCTTTTAAAAAATCTAGCTGACTTTATTTTTTATATAAACTAATATTGAATATGTAAATATTCAACATATCACCTAGTCCACGTAGTGGGATGGAATATTGCAACTCCTATTATTTTGAGTCTAATCAACGACTTCATTCATGCTGGAAATGGAAGTTACTCCCTTGTTTCCTTTTTGCAGTTTTTTATCTTTGCCCTCTACTCCTTTTTCCTCTGTTCTTCACCACAGCCACTCCCCCACACTCATCCCTCCTTGTCATCCTCCTAGGCTCGTGCTATCTATTGTAATCTATCTTTTCTACCTCCCCTTTCCTCACTGAGATGATCTGTTAACATCTGTCGTCTATGCGGACCGTAGGGTCGTGGGAAACCAGGAGATGGTTTTAGACTCTAGATGTCACACACATACCTGAGCTCACATGCAAAAACATATAGATGCATAAACAGACATTTTTATGTTTACTTTGTGCATTTTGCATGTATGAAATGTGATATCAAATTAGCAAAATGAACCAAACAACAGGTAGTGCACCTATTAAAAGACACCTATTCAATTTAATTTTTATTTATTTCCTTGAGGTCCTCTTTGGTAAAAAGGTGTTGTTTTCCTTTTTTTAGCTTTGTTTCTGGTCCTCTTGCTATTTTTAAGTCACTCTCCAGCAAACCTTGCACAATATTTTCGCATCCGCTCATAAGCACACAGTTAAGCTCACCCTGCAGGTGTCTGCTCCTGTAATGGTCCTTTGGTTTGTTTGGATGGGCTCTGGCGTTTCCATCACATTTTGGCTGTTCGAATCTACAGCAAGAGAGAGAAGAAAAAACAGAGAAGGAATGAGAGTGAATACAAAGCATTATTGTTAGACGGTGAGTCCAACGGCTGAAACATTCCACCAATGCTAAGAAAAATGTTTAGATTTTGTTTTAAATAGCACAAAGACCAAAATAACATAATGTTGAATACAGATTATCTTTTCTTCACCATTGTGATGTATATTGCAAAATAATAATGATATGATATGTACGATACATAAATGTGCTCCAATCATTGCCAGGCGACCTGCCCAAATAACAGAGAAAGAGAGAGAGAGAGAGGAGGCTGATGGGAAGGTAGCACTTCCATGCGTGCTCTAATGCGCTGTTTGGCACACTGCCAGAGGCTTTGTTAACTCAATACCACATTCAGTGATGGTCAGAAATCCACAGCATCGCTCCATAACACCCCTGCAGCTCATTAAATGTGCCTCTGAATACAGAGAGTGTCACTGACCCCTGGCAAACACACTCACAATGATTTGTCATTCTGCCAGGTTTCTTGATCAGATTTGGGCCGGTTGAGCAGCCCACCTGTTAGCAGATGAGTATTTAATCAGAATAATTTGCTGGTATATTTAGCTTTTCTTAACGACTGCAGAGCAGAAAGCTGCACTCGAAATGTTAAAAGAGACTGAATGAGATTAGGCCAAGTACTGGCCCCTGAGAGACTCCAAAGCTCAATTTTGTACCCCATAGTAAGTGAAAGAATGAGACCTGCCCCGGGTGTATATTAGATGTACTGTACTGAACAGGTCAACTGGCACTTACCATTTTAAAAGCCAAGTGGTTGGTTTTTCCTTTCAATAGAGACAAACTGCTTAAGTTGTATTCTGGCAACTAAATAAGGACGGATTTGTTTCTTGGAGGCGCCAGAGGCATTTTAAAGTGTTTAAAATAACATTTTGTTAAAGCTGATGTTAAAGGGCTAGTTCACCTAAAAATAAAAATTGGCTGAAAAGTTACTCATTCTCAGGACATCCAAGATGTAGATGAGTTTGTTTCTTTGTCGGAACAGATTTGGAGAAATTTAGCATTACATCACTTGCTCACTAATGGATCCTCTGCAGTGAATGGGTGCCGTCAGAATTTGGGTCCAAACAGCTGATGAAAACATCACAATAATCCACACCACTCCAGTCCATCAATTAATATCTTGTGAAGTGAAAAGCAACGCTTCTAACTTCAAACTGTTGCTTCAAGCTAAAATATGAGTCATCTATTATATTGCTTTCTCCAGTGAAAAAATAGTTTCACCTGAATCGAGACAGAAATATGCACAGATCAAGCACCGTTTACAAGCAAAAACAGTCCAAAAGAGTTCTAAACAAATATGTTGATGGATGTTGAAGAGGACAACAGTGGATGGGCTTTTTCATTGGAGGAATTGTTATAATAGATTATGGTCTCATATGTTGGCCAGAAGCAACCTTTTAAACTTAAAACAGCTTATTAATGGATTTGTTTCTTACAATCACACAGTTATTTGCTTCACAAGATGTTAATTGATGGTCTGTGGTCGTGTGGATTATTGTGATGTTTTTATCAGCTATTTGGACTTTTGTTCTGACGGCACCCATTCACTGCAGATGATCCACTGGTGAGCAACATTTCTCCAATCTGTTCCAATGAAAAAACAACCTCATCTACATTTTCATTTGTGGGTGAACTATTCCCTTAAAATGCATTGTATAAATAATATCCTATTAGTTGTACTTTTCACCTGTTTTTTATGTACTGTGCTTTAAAAAAAATCCTATATTGAGTTTATTACCTTGTGGATGTTCCAGGTATGGGTCGTCCAGTGTCCACCAGGACACACCAGCAGTACCCGGTGGAGGGATGGCACTGAACGGGTTTGTAGAGGCCACCGTGAACACATTCCGGCACAAAAACCGCTTCGTTTTTATGTTGTCGTGCTTCTTCCTGTGCTGACAGCTGCTCCTGATCACACGAGGTCGCTGAGGTAAAGTGAGGCAGAGGAAAGGAGTGAAACACTGCAGGAGACACAATATGAGTGAGTAAGTGTCAGTGTTCTCTGTGGTGAAAAGAAGCCAAGCATCTGTGTTTCTGTACAATGAAAGGAGACAGTGACCAGGAGCTGTCAAGCTCCAAAAAGTAACTTCTCCTTAAAATTTCCATAAAAGTAGTACATAAGACAATGCACAATAGCTTGTGAGGACTAGAATATAACAGGCTTTTTCTGAAATCTAAAAAAAAGTTCCAAAAAATCCAATGTTTGACATATCTAATTCCATGATTTTGGAAGGATGCTGTCCGATGTTGAAAGAATTTATAATAAATTTAAATTGAATTACATTAAAATGTTTATTCTATCTTATTTTTATTTATTATATAATATGTATATATATATATATATATATATGTGTGTGTGTGTGTGTGTGTGTGTTAATAAATAAATCTTTAATACATCTACATTTATTATTACATTTTAATCAAATTAATTACACTTAACTGGCAGTTGTGCAAATCAATGTATAAAATGTCAATTAAAAAACCTTAGAAATCTATATACTGATAGATAAGCATTGTATTTATTAAATATGATATCTCATGATCCTGTGAGTGTGATTCATCTGGTTAAAGGAATGTATGCTGTCTGATGTTAATTAAAACAATTAATAATACATTTAAAGTAGTTACATTTAGTTGAATTAAAACACATTTAATGAAAGTTGAACGAATCAATTAAATACATATATTGTTTTTTATTTTACTTTTTCAACTTGCAATTCCATTCATACTGAGAATTAAGCATTGCATTAAGTCTGATGTTGAAAGAATTAATAATACATTTAAATTAATTACATTTAAATCAAATTTGAATTGAATCCATTAAATTTAATTGAACAAATTAATTAAATGCATATATTTTTATAACTTATGATTCTATATTGAGAAATAAGCATTACATTCATCAAATATCCATGGTTATCTCTAAAGCTCATTTGAATTCGTTTCAGCTCATGTTATGGGGCCTTCATACAAGAACGCTGCCTATGAAGTCAATGACTGACTGGACGGTGAGGCCTTGGACACAGCCGTGCAGAGATGGATGGACAGCATGTTGGAGGGGGTAAGAGAGTCAGAGAGAGTGAAAGTGAGAGCTTGTGCTTTATCTGCAGCCTGCGGGAATGTTTATGACATTAAGAAGTTAAAGACTGCACAGGGCTCCTGCTGCTCGACCAGCATAAATATTTACACATTGTCTCTGGGTGCCTGCATTTGCTGTGTCTTTGAATGAAGATAGTGACCTTGAGCAGAGAATCGCTGCATAAAACACATTGTTTTGGCAAAACAGTGGCATCTTAGCGCTTCCTTTCAATCCTCCAAGAGACACAACGACAGCCCCAAACACATGAATGATCCATATGGAGCACAACCTTTGAGCCATGAGATTTCTCTGCATCAGGAACCAATCATCTCATGTGCCACAACACAGCTCTCCAGCAATGCTTTGAGCCGCCTGATCTAATGCAAGCAAGATTATTTTTAAAAAAAAATGTGTGTGTCTGTGAGAGAGAGAGAGAGGGAGAGATGATATGTGGTTTCTAATGTATTCTGTGGCAGCACAAAATATGGTTGTCAGTCACAGACGAAGGGTGAACAAACTCCAGGCTAAAAGTAGTCTAATGTTAGTGTATTCTATTAACTACGCACACTGTATCTTATTAGGAAAGTAGGCTGCTAGATATGGATGTCATGTCATAAAATAGTTTTAATACGACTGAATTTGTATTTAAACTGATTATGATTTAATAAAACATATTGTAAGCTCATTATAACGCATACATTTCGGTTATTCATACAGCGAATAAATTATATACAGAAGTCACGCAGAACATTTACATTATCAAAGAAAATGATCACTGACTTCAGTCTAGCGTGTTTAAGCAATGTTTTATAATCGATGAAACTGCCTACACTGTGAAATAAATCTCTTACATCGCACTTACATCTGCACTTGTTTGTGATGAGAGAATTTGAGAGAATGTATTGAATGATGAGAGAATTTATTCAGTCGGCGAGCGTGTGCACTGAACAAACCTGACTAATCAGAACGCAATCTCAAAAGCTGACATTGTGAACATAGACTAGTGTTTGTAGTGTTTTGCTATGTGGTTATCAGGGTGTTGCTATGCAGTGATTTTAAAGCGTTAAATATTAGTACTGTAATATTATAATACTAGTATCTGATATTACATATACTACTCTATATACTGAAATATATCACAAAAATGCATTTAAAGTCATGCAGCCCTGTTTCTGCACTGTTGCTAAGCTGATCTGAGTGTTTTTAAGTGCATTTCTATGCAGTTGCTAAGGTTTTCAGGGTGGTTGCTAAGCTGTTTTGAGTGGTATTTAGTGCAGTGCTATGCGTTTGCTAAGGTATTCTCTCTCCCACATCCGTTTATAGTTACCCTCTCTATTTCTCTGTGGTGTTGTCAGATCTTTGGCTTCATGTGAGCATTGTTTTAGAAAATGTTGCCATGGGTTTTTCTCTTCTTTTTTTTTAACCCAGAGACATCTTTTCTTTGCCTCTGTCTTTCGTTCAATTCTATTCTGAGCGTCTCTGAATAGTGCTAATCACCCTTTAGACCTCAACGAATCAGCCGTAATCAAAACCATCAGCGTTCACTGCACTGCACTGACATTTTATTGATTGTAAATCAAGAGGTCTTTACAATCAAGCTATTCACACACACACACAGACACACACACAAACGAGTCTATTCAGAAACACACAAACTCTGTAATAATGTCATCAGAATTAGATTTTTTACTGAGTTCATGTCGTCATTTTTTCCCAGATGGGTTTTAATGACATCTTTGTTGATTCCTTCATTAGATCAACATGTCAGGCAATGGCTGAGTGCCACAGTGAGCTGGATCTTCACATATGTGCTTCAGTCAGAGAGAGAGAGAGTGTGTGTGTGTGTGTGTGTGTGTGTGTGTGTTTGAGCAACTACAGCAACAGTTTCATAATACTTACAGATAAGCATCTGTCTTTGTCTTTTTTGCTTTCTCTTTCTATTACCATACAAAATAAATAAAATAAAATAAAATAAATAAAAATAAGGTAAAATATCTCAACTGTTTCCTAGTTTCCTAAAACTAGCCCTAAAAAAACAAACAAAAAAGAAACTGTAATTGAAAATAAAATAGAATAATAAAAATAACAAAAAATAAAATAAAAAAATAGATATGGCTGAGTGCCACAGTGAGCTGGATCTTCACATATGTGCTTCTGTGAGAGAGAGAGAGTGTGTGTGTGTGTGTGTGTGTGTGTGTGTGTTTGAGCAACTACAGCAACAGTTTCATAATACTTACAGATAAGCATCTGTCTTTGTCTTTTTTGCTTTCTCTTTCTATTACCATACAAAATAAATAAAATAAAATAAAATAAATAAAAATAAGGTAAAATATCTCAACTGTTTCCTAGTTTCCTAAAACTAGCCCTAAAAAAACAAACAAAAAAGAAACTGTAATTGAAAATAAAATAGAATAATAAAAATAACAAAAAATAAAATAAAAAAATAGATTTAAAAAATTGCAAATTAGTAATGCTACACTGGCAGCTAATCAAAAGAAATAGGATAAACACTAAAATTACTATAACTAAAACTGTAATTCGGTCAGGACCACTATCGTCAAAGATGATTGACAATTAGCATACAGTTTGGATTGGCGGTATGGTTCTGTTCTGGGCAAGAACTCCCTGCGCATCCATGCAGCCTAGCATGGATGAGAGCAGGGAGAGCAGCAATAACCCCCCCAGGGTAAACAGAACAGAACCAACATAAATGTATTGCAGATATCGTTAAAGTTCAATAATGTTATGTACACATTTTAGAATTAGTCTGATTCAAAGGAGAATCAGAAGGCTGAATCCTGACTGACAGAGGAGGAGTTGGGGATGGAGGAGGGTAATTAGCTATTGAGCAATGCGAAAACTGCTGATAATACTGAGGGACCTTATATATGAATGCTTAGATAGGTGTCGTATTCCCATAGGTTGATGGGGATCAGCTGAGAGTCAGCTGATGCGAGCTTGACTAACGTGACCTGCCTGAACTAACGCTACGCTAGATTTGTAAAACTAAAACTAAACTATAGAAATATATATATACACTAATAAAAATGACAAAAACATATAACAAAATTAGAACAAAAAATAAAACGAAAACTGAAATAAAAAAAATAAAAGCTAATTCAAAATATTAATAAATATTATAATAGGATGCAAATGATAGTAAAAATGACACTAAATGATCTCCAGCTTCTAAGATGTTTCTCCTAGTAATTTTCCATGTGGTTCCTTTAGTTTCAGAATAGATCTTTGACAAGACACCATAATTAAAATGTAGGTATTTATCATGCACTCAATCATTTCTCATTAAATTCTTCAAAGATCAGATGATCTGGACTATCAATTGGCCATAAAAAAGGAAATTACAAAATCAGATTTCTTTAATTGCTCAATTGTTTCTCCTAGACAGTAATGAGATTAAATTGAGAACAGATGGAGACTTCTGTTTAAGGGCCTTGCATCTAAAATGTCACAAAAAGTCTGCGAAAAGTTTTGAGATCTGAATATGAACTCAATATGACAATTCTCATACAATTATTTCAGTTTCAAGATATCTGATCTATACTATTCCTATTAGTTTTAAAGGGGACATTAATTGAGACTGTTTAGGTTTTTTAGGGATTAAAAAAAGGAGTGAATGGATTTTTTCATTGTAGGTTGGTTGTGTCCACACATTTATATGCAAACACCATGTAAAAGTGAATTTTGCATCCGATGTCCTCTTTAAAGCTCTATAATCATTCTGTATGTCAACAGGTGTCTCGTTTGACTGTTTTTCTTATTTCAGCAGACACATCAAGAGACAAAGTTGATACTCAAACTGCAAAGTCCACTGATATTTTAGCATTTTACGATTTTCTGTCTTCTCCTAAATACCAAAACCAGTCTGGCTCTGTTAGCATTTTGTGTTGAAAAGTGACAACAGATGTTTGTCGGTAACTCACATTGTGTTCTTGTCCTGTTTTGTCGGCTGCGGACCTGTTCTGTCCAGAGTGTGGGGTACTGAGAGATGATGTCTAAAACACACACACGAATGCACAAAACATTAGTTCTGTCTCAAACCCTAGTGAGCGCTCAACCTACACGGCATTTAAAGGCTTCATTGGCACTCACCTTCCTCATCAGCGGACGGCTGGGTTTCCACTACGAAAAACGTTGGCGGATCTGCATTTAGAATGGAGAAGATTTGCAAGGAAACTACAATTACGAGAGTCAGCTAAACAGTCACATCGCATGATCCGTAACGCATTTGCACATTGCCCGGCCAGGACAGATTCGAGAGATGGAGGGACAGAATATAACAGAGGAAGAGGATAAACTGAAGAAAACAAACAGGCAGATAAAGGGTTAAAGGAGGTTTAGTGGTTACAATTGACTCACTGAAAGAAAGAAAAAAACAGTTTAAGCATTCAATCTCTTTGCTTGACACCATAAAACACACATTTATAATGACAAAAAGCAGTGTAGTTCAAATATAGAAGTCTGTAAATGCAAAAATTGAAAAGTGACAAAAATACGCAAAACAGCGTCCAAAGTTAACACTCGCCAAGCACTAAATGTGAGTAACATTTGGCTGAAGTGACTTGAAAAATGTTACTCAGCAACTTTATAATGATTTACAACACAATGCATGGCTTTTTAAGACTTATTCTTTGGATAATTGTTGAACATTATCATTATCATTATCATTTAATCCCCATTCCTTTGACAAATTAAGGCATAAAAAGGTCTTAATTCGGAGCAGTACTTTTAAAATCATAAAGTCATGGCAAAAATGTTGCATGAACTGCAAAAAAAATGCATGTATTACTCAGTATTTTTCTGTTCTTTTCCAATGCAAACATCTAAATAACCTTAAATCAACACACTTGAGATGCAACATGAATTTGAACAAAATTAAGTGAGTTCGTTTAAAACCAGAACAAACATCTGCCAAAGGGGTATGAAAATCTGTTTCCCCATTGAATTAAGTAGAGTTTTCTGAGCCCATTGGCAGATATTTGATCTTGTTTTAATACTTCACTTAATTCTGATCAATTTCTCAGAAAACAAGACATCTTAATGACATTTGCACTGGGAAACAAGACAAAAATACTGAGAAAGAACTTAACTTTTTTGTAGTGTGATCAGAAGGAAGAGTAAAAGTTTTTTCCATATCGATACTGGTTGGGTTTACTTGGTCTTAAAATCTTAAGAAGTATTATATATAGTCAAGAAGTCATATATATATACAGTATATAGTCATATATACATACATATATATAATTGATGAGAACAATAATGTATTTCTAAATAAAAAACAATGCAAAATAAATTTTCATGACTGGTAAGAAATATGTATGGCTGGCAAAACATGAATTTTGGACACTGTTTGCAAAAATAAGCCGCCTTCCCTGTAAAAAAAAAAAAACGAATGTTTTAGTTTAGTTCAGATTTTAGTGATCTGCAGAACAGGCATGCAAGAAAGCGGACATATGTGTTATGTGTGCAGACGGGGATGAAGGAACATCTCTAGACGCTGGCCACAGGAATCTAAAATGCTGAGAGCTGCAGGTGTGGTTAACCTCAGCAGGGTCACCATTAACTCATCAGAGGTCATCAACTGCCCCTTCTCTCCTTTGGTGTGTTTTTCTCTACTAGCATCTTTGGGAAAAAGTTGGGGAACAGCCACTGTCAGCACACTGATGAAGTGATAAAGTATTACGAGATTCGACCCTGTTATTTATATGACTCTAAAATTTCAGTGTAGCTCAACACATCAATGATTTTCTATGTTTTTGTGGCTTTTTGCCTTTTATTTGATAGGACAGCCCTAAAGCGACAGGAAATGGTGGGAAGAAGGAGAAGGCGTGGGATCGGGAAATGACCCAAGACGCAAAGCCAGGTCATCATTGTGCTATGTGCACTACTGACCAGGCCACACCTCTGACAATGGATCTGTTCCAAAACCTAGTGAGCTGCATTCTAAGGCAGCATCCTAACCATCATGGGATCTTATAAGTGACTGATTTGGAACGCTTCACTGCAATAAATGTATTTTCTTCCTCAATATGTTTATCTTCTTTTTCCTTACAAATATCCAAACATTTATATATATATATATATATATATATATATATATATATATAACCTAGTAAGGATTTTTGAGGCAGCTTGCTAGTTTTTGAAATGATGTGGAAAGCAAAATACCAGCTTTTCTGGCGACTGAACATGATTAAATTTTCCATTATATTACAGTTACAGTTATAACTTTTTAATAGGTATACTTGGAAATTTGACATTTCATAAGTAAAATCATTTTTAATCAATACACACTTTAGAAGAGGTAAAACATCTACAAAATAAACTTCAACAAAAACCTTCACATCTCCCATAGCTGATTGTTTAAACTGAAAAAGACATTCAACTTAAAACTGAGGAAAAAAAAGACCAAAAAAAAAAAAAGGGTGATTATCTGGAGATCAGGTGGTCTGTTTTGTTTCTTAAAAGGAGGGAATCAGTGCCATTAGTAGTGCATGAGAAAGCTCTTCATCTGGAAAGAAGAGAAATGATGTCCAGGTAAAGTGGTTAATGTTCACTGCAGTGCTATGACAAAACTGTGAAGCCCTTCGATTTCATTTTAACGACTGTGAAAAGCAAAGGCTGTTATTACAGCGTCTCCCTGTTTAACGACTCCAACATACGACCATTTACTTTCAGCCCTGAAGCAACTTCAGCACTCTCAATTCACAAAATATTAGAATGGCAAGCCGTAACTCGCAGTACAGACACACACACACACACACACATTAAAACGTAGCTGCCAGTACAGATTGTCAATCATGAAAGTCTTTACCATATCAAAATAAACCGTTTTTACCTGATTTTCCTGGTTCCTTCGGATTCACTTTACCGTTCTTGGACCCTGAAAATCAACAGGACAATCACAGGTTACTCACACTAAGATTTTAGCAAATCTACACCTAGAATTTAGTTCATTCTTAACTGGACTATAACATTCAAATGTGTCCTGTAGATCAGAGCAAGTCTTCCAGGAATGGGTAATTTGAAATTACTTACGCTTTTAATTATGCATTCAACCTCTACAGAGGAACATGATAATGTTATGGAGGTTGCAGGGGGTAAAAACCATATGACACTCTCTTGGAGTAAAAGAGCAAGAATGTTTGAGTTGGGCGCTTCGCCTGCCAAACGCACATTTGTTTTGTGATGCTCCCCCAGACCTAACTGATTAAGCTGTTGCATGTGCAATTAAATCTAATTGGTCCTTTTCTAGTGAAGCTGTGGTTAAAGCCAAGCCAACAATGTTATGATCCAGGAACCCATGGCCTGCAGTGATTGAGTTTCAGTTTTGTGCGTGAGTGTGTGTTTAATGCAGTGCTATGCTAGTTTACTGCATGTGGCTTCGGTTATGTGGTATTGTTATGCTGGAACGTTTCTGTAGATTAGGATTAGCTCTGTTCCGGCATCTCTCAGTGCTATCACTGGCTTAGACGCTGAGTTTCTGCATTTCTCTGTTGATTTATATTCCTAAACAACTATAATGTGCCAAAACATTGAGATTGTGTAATCACTGTTTGGAATCACTTCCGAGTACTATTCATGATGTGAAAATCTCTTTTGAAAACAAAGAAGATGTGACTGAAGCACGGAGTAGAATAAAGGCATGAAAAACACAGCAGAGGTAGAAGTATGGTACCTTGGCATTGAGGTTTCTTATTGGCTACTGCTGAGCCGCTGATGGGTCTGCCACTGGGTGTCACACACCAGCAATAACCAGTGTAGCTGTGGCACTGAACCTGTTAGTCAAATACAGCAGAGATCAAGAAAAAAGACAGAGAGAGGCAGAAAAATTGAGAAATCTGACAGTGAAATTGTTAAAGGTGTAAAATCCTACAATATGCCGTCTGTTCGTCTGTCTAACCATCCATCCATCAGTCTGTCCATGTAACGTTCTAAATTTTCCTCTATCTATCTATCTATCTATCTATCTATCTGTCTGTCTGTCTGTCTGTCTGTCTAACCATCCATCCATCCATCCATCAGTCTATCCATCTATCATTCTAAATTTTCCTCTATCTATCTATCTTTCTATCTATCTATCTATCTATCTATCTATCTATCTATCTATCTATCTATCTATCTATCTATCTAACCATCCATCCATCCATCAGTCTGTCCATCTATCGTTCAAAATTTTCCTTGATCTATCTATCTATCTATCTATCTATCTATCTATCTGTCTGTCTGTCTGTCTGTCTGGCTGTCTGTCTGTCTGTCTGTCTGTCTGTCTGTCTGGCTGTCTGTCTGTCTGTCTGTCTGTCTGTCTGTCTGGCTGGCTGGCTGGCTGTCCGTCTGTCCGTCCATCGTTCTATCGTTCTATTGTTTTATCGTTATATAATTCATCTCATACCTCGCTGTAGGTTCCGTCAGGATTGCAGACAGGAACGAACACCTGTGGGAAGAGTTTCTTGGCTTGCTGTTCTGTGTATTTCTTCTCTGCTACACACCTGGACGTATCTGGAGACACAACACAGGTAAATCCAGCAAGTCTGACAAACTATATAACCATCCATGTTATTGTATGGCAAAAATAATACATTCTCATGTCTTAATTTGGTCAGTCAATTCATAGGTAATTTGTTGTGAACTGAAAATGTTCTTTATCCTTATTATCCTGATTATCAAACAGCTAAGTAGTTAACAGTGAGTCAGGACTGCCACTGGAGCCCTCTTAAAAAAATGCATGACACGTCTGCTTTGGAGATCTTGAAAAGTACTATAAACTTGATGATTCATTTGTTCACAAACTCTGTCCATCCTCTTTTCTATATATAAACTTAAACTTTATTTCCCATTATTCCACTTTAAGCACACAGTCACTATTCTGCTCATCGTGTCAGTGTAATATAGAAAACAGAAAGTCTGCAGAGAGCGAGTGCATTAAATTCAAACCGACAGGCGAGTCCTCTGGCGTTCTCTCTCTGACTGATGTGGCACGGGTGTTTTTTCTTTTCTTTTTTTTAGAGGAAATGAAAGAATGGTAATGGCGAAAGAAAATGAAGCAGGAAATAAGACTTGGTTTCTTTTGCAGTGACATGTGACCTCTCAGACACAGAATAATTCAAGATGTTTCGGAAGTGCTGGATCCCTGTGTGTGGTTGGGAATTAGACCAACAGTCCTACTGGAGTCATCACTATCTCTATACCAGTCCAGTGGTAAAACTATCGCAGATCTCGCTCTGTCATTCTGTGTTAAGTCTGTGTGAGCTGATGGTGTCCAGCAGGTTGTAATGCATCTGTATGTACATTTATGTGTGAGTGTGTGTGTGGATGTCGTTGTGGCAGCTGGGCAGAAAATCTTCCAGACCTCAGTGGAGACATAAACTCACTCTCTCCACTGGGCAAATCATTAAAACACTTTTAGTCCGGGATGGCACGAGAGGATAAGCAAGGAACTCAGTGAAAAGGATGGTATACGATGTAAATGCTAACCTATGTATGTACTGTATCATTCAGTTCTGAAAAAAAAATCACTAAAATATAGTACTTAAAATTAGCCATTTTACCCAATGTTTGTGTGCATTATGTATGTTATGCCTATTAGAGTGTCAAGTCAGGTTACATTTATTTATATAACGCTTTATGAAGTACAGATTGTTTTAAATCAGCTTTACCTTAATAAAACAGAAAAATGACAGCGTTAAGGTCTTTGCACACTGAGTCTGAAATTTTAGCATGTTAAAAAATAAATACGACCTCATGTTGTGTCAATCACGTTTACACACTGCCTCTGAAACTTTCGTCCGTCATGAACAAAATCGGACCAGTTTCGATTTTCTGCGTTTTCGCATCCGTAGCAAGCATTTTGATAGGAAAGGATGACGAATACGAAAAAACCTAAGAAAATTTCAGACTCAGTGTGCAAGGACCTTTAATGTTGTCAAATTCATTAATTATGAAAAAAGCAGTTTAAGCTGTAAGTCAGCTCTAGAGAAGATAATAGTGTAATTACTCAGCTAAATTTAGTTCAATAACTGTCAATGTGTCAAGTTCATCGGTCATGAAAAGTTCTTAATTCAGATGAACGTCAATAAGTAGCTCTGCAGAAGGCAATTCAGCTCGAGTCGGTTCAGAATTAATGTCATTATCCAGCTCAATTCAGTTCAAATTTGAGAGACAAATCATATAAAGAGTGCTGAAATAAACTGTTCTCGACTTTGACGTTTGTGCACAGCTGCACGATCCCTGAATGTACTTCCCTTTCCAATCTAATCTTTCCCTTTTGGTTTTCTTTCACTCTCATTTTAGCGGAACATAATTCATCCTCTTTTTGTACCTCTTTCCCTTCTCTCTCTATTTCTCACACCCTCTTTAATCCCGATGTAAGAATGACACATTGTGCTTACTAGTAGGGAAAGAAAGAGTGAGCGGGAGACAGAAAGACAGAAAGAAAGAGAGCTCAGAGCAGAAAAGTGTACAGGGCACGAGAGTCTTCCTGCCGAGCCTAATACAATGAGAGTGTTTGTGAGCCGTTTGACCTTTGACCTCTGTGGTTACTGATGGCGTTCGCCCCTCCCTTCATACAAATGACCACCGATCTCTTACACGTATGAATGCACTACTGTACATTTGTTTTTACACAGGCAAGATCCCCATCAAGATCTTAGCAAAGATGTTTCTCAATTTATGGATTTTGTGAAAATGCACCAATTTTTACCAGTCTTTGTATATTTTTATATACTGCTACGCTTTTGCTATTTCATTTGCATTCCAAATAGAGTGATTTTATAGAAAACATAAAATGGCATTCATAATCCACACTGGATCTTAAGTTTGTCTGTCAGGGTTTAACTGGATAGGCTATAACATTACTGGTTCATATGATTTTTTATTCTGCCAGTGTGGCCTCGGTTACATCATCAGAAAAGTAAAACTGTTTCAGAGCCAAAATTTTAATTTATGGTATTAAATTGAATGATTATTAAATGTGTAAATGTAACTATATTTAATATATTATTAATATATAATATTATTAATAATATATCACATTGAATATATTATTAAAATAAATATTACATTTATAAATATGTTTATAATTTTTAAAATTAAAAATTAAATTGATTAATTAAAGTTTTTCAAAACATTAAACATTCAAACTTTTTTTTTTATTTTAGATGCATAAGGACAATCAGGAGCAAAGTTGAATCTGCATCATTTGTGTCACCTCAAATCATCAACTCGCTATATATTATTAAAATAAATATTACATTTATAAATATGTTTATAATTTTTAAAATTAAAAATTAAATTAATTAATTAAAGTTTTTCAAAACATTAAACATTCAAACTTTTTTTTTTATTTTAGATGCATAAGGACAATCAGGAGCAAAGTTGAATCTGCATCATTTGTGTCACCTCAAATCATCAACTCGCTTCAGATCACTGTTAGTGTGAACGCCTCTTAAGAGTACAATTTGAAATGTCATAGAGGACAATGTGTTGTACTCTGCAAAATCCCGCTCTGTCTCGTCAAAGAAAGATAATTTATCCCTAGATGGATTTAACCCTGCCCGCCTCGACCCTGACCCACAAAGGGCATCAGGCCAACCAGCAGCGGCTCGCGTTTGATTGGTGAACTCTGACCTTTGCATGACCCTCGTATGACTTCCAGCTGAGGGTCACGGCACTTTGCACGGAGAAACTCGCAGCGGGAACTGAAGGTCCGTCCGTCTGATGCACACAGAGGCTTGCGAGGAGCTCCGGAACAATCCATATTGCATTCTTTATCTTGCTCCACACGCAGAAACTGTGAAGATGGACAGAAAGAGATGTTACTAGTTACTGAGCTAAGAATGTGAGCATAAAAATACATAGCACAGAAATATTGGGTAAAATAATAATTTTCATTTAAATAAACAGTTTTTTTACACTTAAAATTACATTTCAATGTAATATTTAAAATTATAATATATTTAGATTTTATAAAAGTTATAAAAAGTTTTATTAAACTTTTAAAAATGTAATATAATTTTATATCAATTCTTATTTATATTTAAAAATATTAACATATATATATATATATATATGAATAATTATTAATATATATGTTCATATTAATTCTATTTCTATTTATATAAATGCATATAAATATATTGTAGTTTATATTTCTATAAACATTTATTTATAATGGTATATAAAAATTTTTTTTATTAATTGTTCATTTTGTTAATTAATTTGTTAGTTTTTCATTTTACTTGTTGCGATCACCATGAAGGATATATTATTTGATGACATCTTTGTCCCAAATAAAGTATCTTAGCAGGCAGCATAATTATTCATTATTTTGGTGCATTTTGCAATTTCAAGTATTATGTTATACTAATAGAAATTTTTCCAGTGCCCCGTTTTTTTTTTTTTTTTTTTTAAGTCGAAAGTAA